CTTAGATCAACAGTGGGAGAAAAAGCAGTGGATGGCGGCGTTTGGAGTAGAGGGCCCTCCCAGTGTAAGCACATGAGAACACAGGTCTGATTGGTATTAAGTGGAGAGATTAAAAAGCCATCTCATAGGTCAGGTCAGCTGGTGTTCATTTGAATGCATTACCAGGGTCCGAGGCTAGATAATTCTCTCATTAGCGCCACTCAAACCATGAGTGACAACACGGGTGAGAAGGGAGCATGTCTTACAACACTTAGAGTTAATTAGTCTGCGCGCTGTTGCTCGGCGCCCCATGCGTCCGCTCGCACTTCAAATGGCCTGAACTTAAAGCAGCGTCTGCAGTTAATCAAAGATGAGCCGCAGAGTTTTACACAGGAAACACTTGTTGTTCCAGGAAGTACTTTTTGTTTTAAAACTCCAATAAAGAGCGGCACTCACACAACTCTAAATGTACTGTAGTTTAGAGTGTCTTGTACAGTACTAAGACTAAAGGAAATGTACAGGTCTTATTTCCAGATTTATGGCAATCTCTTGTATTGTTTATGATAAAATGGTGGCAGTAAACTGGAGCTTTCAGATAGTGAACTTCTAGAAGCCCTGAGCAGCAAGTGATACATTTTTTAGGTCTGGTCAAAATAGTTTTCTCTTATGAAGAAATTCAAATTGACTAAAAAAAGAAAGCTGTTACAATAACAAACACTTAAAACACAACATCATCCTGACAAAAAAAGTTTCACCTGTTTAACTTGTTTAAAGGTAGGGTAGGTAAGTTTGAGAAACCGGCTCGAGATCGCTAGAATTTGAAAATACACAACCGGAGAAAATCTGCCACTTCCTTACAGAGCCCCTCCTCCAACACACACGAAGGCGCACATGACCAATGAGGGCACGAGATAAGTTTGTTTAGCCGGGCCGGCTAAAATGATTGGTCGTGCTATTACGGCTTCCACAGATGACATTTTTTTATGGATTTTAAGATATTCATTGCTATCGGGATGTTAAGAGCATTCCATGGAATATAACAAAAAGTGTATCTCGAGGCGGTTTCTCAAACTTACCTACCCCACCTTTAAGGAACTTTTCCATTAGATGTAAACGAAACGTAAATAATCCTTTAAAAAATCCCACGTTTCAAAAAACGTAATAAGAATTAGCAAACTTCTGAAGAATATCCTTGCAATACCTTTCCCTTCACCTGTCATTAAACAGCAGAGAAACCCATTTAGATCAGTCTTAGAAAACGCATCACCATTTTTCACTCACTTGCCTCTTGGCGCTAATGTATCAATATTCCACATCTTAGAAAGTAAAGGGGAACACTACATTAATTAGGATTTCCAATGTGATATTTCCATGGCCTAGGAAAGTTCAATCATGGTGCTCATCCTGTATGTGGCCCTTCGTATTCCTTTCATTACTTTCAGACTGATAAAACCCCCAGGTAACCATTTCCCATCTCTAAAGTTTCAGAGGAGATTCTGCAGCAGATGGATTCTCCACTCTTTCTTTGTTGATGACATTGTGTTTGCATATTGGGAGCGCGAGGTTATATCCACGTCGTTAGTCTCTCTCTTGGATCCAGCCCCGATACGACGCCATCACACTCACATTCACTTTAAAGCTTCTATAAATTGTCTCTTTCTCTTCCTGTTCACTCCTACCACTGTTCCCAGGAGACACTGCGCCCGGCTCATTGCCCACCACACACACACACACACTGAGGGGGGGGGGGTCTCTCTCTCGCCACCACCACCGCTGGGCTTACCCACCACACACACACCCTGAATACCAATCATGTGCCCCCCAATCACCACCCCCTACCGAGCGCTCAGGGTTAGCTGAATATTCTACGAGCTTTCAATTTTTCAGGCAGGTCCACGAACCCCCCCTCCCGTCACGCGGCGCCATCACACTCAGGGGAGTTGGAACTTCAGCAGTCGTTAGCAGGGTCATCTGCAGCCCCTCAGGGAGGGACTTAAAAGAAAAAGATTTGAATTGCCTTTCTCTCTTTTTATTCTCTTTCCGTCTCGCCGCTTCACTTCTCTGTATGGGTCCGCCATAATTCCAACCTCCTGTCTTCAAGGCCTAGCAATATTCATCCCCCCCTCAATCCTGTCTGCGCGCCGACAAATTCATCAATCAAAGACGAGGCCTTCCAAAAGCTTTTTATGGCTCCGATGTCATGCTTCTTATGCCACTGTCAAAAGTGGCGGCAGGCGCTTCTGATGCCACAGTAAGGCGGTTATCCTCTGGTATAATGCACTGTAGTGGTCATACAGGATCAAAATGTGAGAGAAAATGGCTCCCAGCTGAAAGAGAGAAACATTTCTTCTTCTTCTAACTATTTTTGCACTAATATAAATTCCCAGTGAAATGTCTGGCGAAGTAGGTCAATGGGATTTAGAAAGTTTGTGCTGTTTTTTCTCCTCCTCCCTCTCTCCTCATAGTCTCTTGTCAATGGAAAATGAGCAATGCGATTAGGAGAGGGGGAGATGATGAGCTGAAGAAGAGCAAGAGAGGGGAAGAAGGAGACAGAAGGCAGGCTGAGAGGAGGTTTGGGCCTCTGCCGGTCCCTCGCCAGCTGACTGAGACACCCAGACAAATAGGGGAGAGGGGGGGGGGGGGGTTTATCAGCTACAGAGGAAGGGAGTGGCTCATGTCTCTTCATCTTGATATTGAAGCAACAATCTAATTATACCATTTCTCCAGGGAATATGCATATGAGGGTAATCAGTAAATAGAAACAGGTAATTATTTGCCAGAAGTCATACCCTTTGCACCTGTAAGCACTGCACCAGATTGTGCTTTTAATAATAAAACATGCAATGAAGATTATTTATTTAATTTATAATAAGTAGATGGATTTCACAGTTATGGAGTATTTCATAGTCTGTCAAAAAATATAATGAGTTAAGTTTGGTCCAATACAAATGGGCCTCTCTGGGTAATTTGCCAGAATTCTCCTCGGGGTAAATCTCCGCCAGTGAATGTGATTGAATGTTACAATTAAACGTACTAATTCATTGTCAAAAGCAACTTATCTATACACATGATATATTTGGCGCCTAATTGGAGAGCACATTTAGAAATGGTTTCTTCTGTGGTTTTCTCCACACCATGGCCTAATCAGAATAAATTCTGCTCGCCGTAATGAATTGAAGTTGAATATTCGTAGTTGGGCTATTAAAGAGACTGGAGGAGTGAATTATTTAAATGCTAATTAATGTTTTAAGCTTTCCAACCTGCAATAGGCACATATTATTCCTTACATTCACTAAGTGCAGGGGAACTTCTTGCTCATATTTCATTCCATCAATGCAGCGGTGCTTCCTGCATGCTACCTGCAGCCAGATTGAATCCATCAATACTGGAGACAGCTGGTGGAATTACTAATATAAAGTCAGCTGGGAATTGAGCTGAAACATGATTCAACCCTGCTGTAGTTGGGATTTTTCTCTCTTTTCAATTGTTGCTTTTATATTTTACCCTACAAGTTTCATTGCTTGTTTTTTTAATCAGTTGTCCCCACCTGACAGGCTGCGTATAACATGTGTTTAGTAAATGTTCAGGGCTTTGTGGTGTGTCGCCATCATTCTGCTGAGATTTAAAACAGCTTGTGACAGAGCCGCAGATATGAGATGAACTTCATTAGCGTTGAAAGAGTGCGAGATTTAACTTTGTGCTCAAAGCAGCCCGCAAAGAGTTCTAACGCGAGCGGCAGTGGCATTATTCATGTTTCCACAATAGCTTGTTATTCATCATAAGACAAAGGAGAATCTCACTCGGCGTGACATAGATGGAGGAGGGCCACGAGGGTATTACTCACATCTGTTGAGAGCAGTATGCACAGCCAACTGGATGTCACGATACACCGTGTTTATTAATGCAAACAAAGTCTCCCAACAAAGAATATAAATGATATTTTCCTTCACATCGGAGCATAAATATTAATTGTGTTAAATCTATGATGTATTGTGGTTAGGGAGCTGCTTTAGTTGTTTATTGTTACACCAACCAGGATGCATTTTATTAATCCGAGCAGCACATCATGTGACACCAGATAAAGTGCACAATGAGCTGCTGAATAAAATCTGCATTTCTCTTTACTACCACAAGGTGGCAGTGTAGGCCAACAAACAGGAACATCAAACTGCTCTGCTTCTGAAAATCAAGTTGATTTTATCTGGCATTTTCCTTTAAGTAAGCCTAAAACTGACTACAAATCCCTCTTTCACACACACCTGTACACACTTATATTCAATATGGCTCCCAAGCTTGTTGATTTGCAGTGCACTTTTCTCTTCTTCAGCCCATATAAATAATCCTACCTTAACCACAGCATGCTCACAGAATCAACAGAAGGCCTCGGGTGGCTTTTCGCCTTGTTCACTCTTTTCTTTCTTTAAGTAGAGTTTGCACAGCTGTCCGGGGAACACAAATGGCGTTTCACTCCTCTTCCTGTGGCAGGACATCTGTTGCTTTCAGCTGGCTCCCCTTCTGAGGCCGCTGGAGTGTGCTTTATGCAGCCTGGCGGCATTATGATAACATAGTGTTTGATCCTACCTGTGTGATAGGTGAGGTGGTACAGGGTGTTGAATTTAAAAAGAATGACCAAAGGGACTGTGTCATTTATTTTCCCGTGTACTTCAAATACCAGTAACTACAATAAGCTAACATCAGTGTTTACTTAACCTTGAAATGGAAACTTACGGAAGGTTGTTCAGGTAGATTTAAGTGGATAGATAAGATTGCTATACATCAAATGTGAATGGACAAATGCAATTCATTCCAACAAATCCTTCTGCAGGTCTATGCAGCAGCTGCCTTTGGCCCATGTGTGTGGAACTCTCCATAAATACTGAATTTTATCCCATATAAATCAACTTAACACTCTTTGCCAATGTCCTTGCATCCCCTGTTGAAGTTAGATTATTTATAAATGACCATATTCGTAACTGAGAAGTAACCCAAACGTACAATAAAAGGCACACTGTTCGGACAAATATAATGCAAAATCTGCTAGTTTAATAAGGCTGTACAACGTGGATTTCTAATTATTTGTATTAAGTTTTATCTTCAAGATTGACCACATCTGTTTTTCGAGATGATCTTTGCGTACTCCCGTCCAGACCGGTATAATGTTCGTTTTCGCTTTGCATCAGCGAAGTCCACATGGAACAATCCAAAACGGACGCTGAATCCATCCGCCCATTCGAAGTTGTCCAGCAGTGACCAGGCGAAGTATCCACGGACATTAACCCCATCTTCTTGTAGAGCTACACACAAACACAGAGTAAAAACTTGAATGAATTATCTGCAACAAGTAGCAAATATGAAAACTAACCAAAGGGTCTAATACAATTGTATTAGCCCTAAATTACTGTTATTCATTCCAACAGAAACAACAAATTCTACTTTTTGATATCCTTGGAAATAATATTTACATAGATTGGCCAGATGGTGGTGCCAAAACAAACTTAACATCTGGGCAATAACTCCTGAGTATTATAGTCTGGAAGTCAATTTATTACGTTTTTTTCTGCCATTTCAAATGAAACTTATTTAGTTATACATGTAAAACCCTTTAAGATCTCTTTTAATTGAGCACTATCTAATGCAAGATTTATAAGAATGAGTCAACTTTGCCAATAGTGTACATGTTGGTTGGTGATATGCAAAGTAAAACATTTGTATACAACAGCAACCAATCTTTGCATCCTATATTTGTGAATCATGTATACCAAATTGCAAGAGCTAGATGTGTAACAGACCACATTTGAGCATTCATTTCACTGGACTGACACCAAAGTGTTGTGTTTGCTCATTTTAGAAAGGATTTCACTGTCATTTGCTCAATTAATGTGGACTGTACAACTGTGTGCTAATGGCATTTATCTTATTTCCATTCCAGATTTACCTTTAGCCACTTCTGCGATGGTGTCCTTGTAAAACTCGGCGCGCTGCACGTCCTCGGTCTGCAGCGGGCCCACCTGAGAGAAGCCGTTCTCTGTGACGTACACCGCTGGGTTGTTGAAATTGTTCTGGAAAGTCACGGGGCAAATATTGTCGTCAAACAAGGCATCTGAGCTGTCAGACATCCAGCGCGAGACAGATTGGTCCACAGTGTGCCGTTTAGCTGCTTTTCAACGGTGCCAAGATCAAACTAATGGCCTGTGACAAGGCACAACAGCAGGAAATTGCAATTGCAAACACTTTCAGCAAAGTAACTGTTTCATTCAATGTGACAGCACTAATGAAGCATCAATGTGTTTCTGGAGGTGTTAAAAGAAGATTACCGCATACAAAATCAATAGCAAGACACTAAACAAATGCCAGGGTGTTCTACTCGTTTGGCGGAAGGCGATTTGTCTTCTTGTCGGTCAATTCAGTTTGATGCCAGGAGAAGAGAGAAAAATGACTTCACATTTCAGCTGATTGAATTCACACTCAAAGTGAGGGATGTGTTTGGGGATAGATTGTTGTAGGGCTGCACGACATATATTGTTTCGAGATAGGTAACACGATGTGCAAATGTCACATGGATGATGTTGACCAAAAACTTTGATGTCATCTTGGAAAACTTCCTTTTTTTTTTCATACGCCAGGGGTGTCCAGACTACGGCCCGCGGTCCATTTTGAATCTGCCCTCAGCAAATTAAAAAAGTATAGTGGAATATGGCCCACAAATGAAACTTGTGCTTGTCTTATATTGTACTTATTAAATATAAATGTAAAAATATATTACACAGTAGTATTCATGTGTTCATAAGACCACTTTTCATATATATTCAGTCAATTAAAGTTGGAAACATTTTCTAACATATCTTAGTTGATAAGAAAAAAGCCCAATGACTTATTTACATAACAAGCTTGAAATACACCCTTCCTATTTCTTCTTATTATAATCAATCTGAGGCTTCTGTTTTAAGGGATGAGCTGCCAACACTCACAAGCATAATTTACCTACATTTGATTGATTTTACTAACTTATAACTGAACTTATGAGACAATATACCTCTAGTGCAGGGGTCGGCAACCTTTTTGATATGAAGTGCCATTAAAAAAAAAAAAAATTATCAGCGTGCCGACGATCGTGAATTATCAACGGGGGGGGGTGAAGAGCTCGACGAAAACGCTCGTGAAAAGTGATGTTTAAAACTCAGTTAATGGGGCTCGTTCACTGGCGCTTCCACAAACAACAACCAACATAATTATTACATTCAAATGAAGTAGCCTACATTATTCAAGTTTACATTAACTTTGGATAATAACACGGGAGAAATTAGCGGAAGCGCTCTCTTTTCCTCTCTCCCCCTCTCTCTCTCTCTCCTGACAGCCTGTCAGTATCGTCTCATGCAGCTCACTGATCCAGTAATGAGTGACAGTGAAGAATAAATATATTTATAACTAGTTTAGCTTGTTCCAGAGGTAGATAAAATAGGTAAGTGTGTTACAGTAGGTCTAACTCTTGTGTGTTTTGCTTCGCTCACCGGTCCGTCACAGCGGGTGGAGCTGCAGGATTTCTGCTTCACACACGTTGCACCGCTATTTTACTGTCGGACACCTTAAAATACTGCCAGACTGGTGAAGCCATTTTGGCGAGCTTGTTTTGCCGCACACAGAGAAAAGTGTCATGTATTTTACGTCTCGCGATCGGCCTTTTTAGAGAGCACCGATCGATCGGCAGAGAGTGAGTATCGGCCGATATCGATCGCCACGCAAAAACTGCGCCATTTTTACAGCTCCTTATGGGTAATGCAATTTGTGAAGTGCTTTCCTCTGTGGTGAAACTATCAGCACTGCATTACGGAGGAAAGCGGCAGAAAGTCGCCTGGAGTTAAAGAGAGCGGGGCTGCGTTGCGTGCATGGCTTCCTTCTGCAGGTAACGGGGAGATCCGATACGTTCAGGATCCGAAAATAAAATTTTAATATTTTGCACACTTATTCCACTTATTCCTAGTGTGCCACTGGTTATGGTGCCGCGTGCCATTGGTGGCACGCGTGCCAGGGGTTGCCGACCCCTGCTCTAGTGAGTGACCCAGTATATTTTTCTGTATGTGGCCCTCGTGAAAAAGGTTTGGACACCCCAGTCATACGGCAATATTTTCTCTCAATATCGTGCAGCCATACTTTGTAGTGATGTGATACAGCAGTAGTTTTACCTTGATGTACTTGAGAAGTTTCCTCAAGCCTTGAGGCACAACAGCGAGCCAGGACACACCACAGATAGGCCAGGACGGGTGCAAAACTTCTCCTGCGTCTCGGTCGCTCTTCATACACAGCTTCTCTCCACAACCTCCTCCCTGCTTCACTTTACGAGACGTGTAGTAATTCAGCGCAAAGAAGTCTGCTGTGCCCAGAATGGCTGGCTCATCCTTAGAAAAACTGGGCAGTCTCGAGCTGCAGCCCGTCTTCTCACTCTGAGCGTCGATGGCTGATCTCATTATTTCTGGATAATCTCCTGTTACAAACACAGGCCAGGCAAACCACCCGAGTGTGAAGGCGAGGAGGCGTTCAGTGGCAGCGATATCCTCGGTGCATCCTGCGTTCAGAGGCTCCAGCCAGTCGCTGTTGATGGCCAGAGACACGGCGCCCTCCTGCTGCGCCCTGTACAGAGAGTCGTAGCTGTGCCAGGCCATGGCGTGGGCTCGCAGCATGTTGTGGCCCACCAGGTAGGCGGCAGTCCCCGGCTCCTTTAACCCCGGGGCGTGGATGCCGTCCTCGTGGCCCAGTTTGGCACACACGTAGGGCTCGTTGATGGTGATCCAAAGTTTGACTCGGTCGCCAAATGTGTGGAAGCAGAACTTGGCGTAGCTGTCGAACAGGGTCGCGGTACCTGCTGATTTCCAGCCGCCCTGATCCTGCAGAGCCTGAGGCAGGTCGAAGTGGTAAAGTGTGACCATGGGGGATACATTGCAGGCCAGCAAATCATCAATCACCTTGTTGTAGTACTCCACCCCTGTTGGACACACAGGAAAAACTCAGTTTCAATGCTTTTTGTACATCTGGAGTGGAAACCATGACATTTTGTAAACATATGATTCAAAAGGACATTCAGATTTGGTTCCTCTTCCTACGTCACATGCAGGCTTGGTAGAATATACCCAATAAGAGTATCTCAACCTACGATTACCTTTGCAATTCTTCTCAGAAGCCAATCAGAGCAGATTGGGTTATTTTAGGGAGCCTTAAAGGAACAGGCGCTAAAACTGAGCGTTTCAGACTGAGGTTGCATATAGGTATATATTACGAGGAAATATAACGTGTTTCTTTAACATTAAAGCATATAAACGTGTTCTAGTAGAAACCCAAAAGAGAATTTGAACCTGAAAATTAGCAATATATGTCTCCTTTAAATCAGTCATCAAAACGTTGGTATCCCAGTATACATCTGGGAGAGAGTACCTTAAAGTGTATAGAGAGAAAAACAAACATAAAAAAGACATCAAACTTGCTAAAGTCAGTTTTAAAACTCGACCAGACCAACTCTTGCTGCAATATTGCAATGTCATAATAATGCAAAATGTTCAATGTAAATAACAATGTTGAAATTGAGAAGTTTGGACTATTTATCAAAGCCTAAAACACATTTCTGTCATAACAAAGAGAGGAAAAGACCCTACCCTAGTGATGAGGTAACGCAGCACTGAAACCCTCAAATAAGCTGGTTCATTTGTGCTGTTTTGAATAGAAATATGGCATGGGTCTAATGGGGATATGGAAATACCTTTTTGATTGACGTGTCGTGTGTTCCCGTCAGGCAGGAGGCGGGCCCAGGAGAGAGACAGACGGTAATGTGTCAGTCCGAGCGTCTGGATGCACTTCAGGTCCTCGTCCCACAGCTCGTAGCTCCTGCAGGCCTCATCTCCATTCTGCTCCCCGAACACTCGGCCCCCCTCGTGAGTAAACGTGTCCCAGATACTCGCCCCCTTACCGTCTGCCTGCCAGCCACCTCCATGCACACAGAAATTCATTTTCAAAACAAAAACGAAATCCCAGAAATGTTTCTGTTGGGACTTCAACTGTGTGTGTCTGTGGATTTCACTGGCTTGTCTATATTAGTATTCATTATTTAAATGTCAATGTAATGTTCCTTTTGTTACAGTCATCATGGTCTGTAGATGTCAGTTAGTGTGTTTACATTATTGTATGTGTTTCAAGTTTGTCCATTGATTCTATACAGTATGAGTTGGTCAGACATCACAATGGTGAAGGTGTGTCACAATTGAACGTCACATGACAATTTAAAATACAATATGCATACAACCTCAGAACAATGGACCTTGCTTTGTGTGATGTGTGGAAACAATAATGTATTAACCCTTGTATGGTGTTCATATTTGTGTTACTCAGGCAGTGTTCGTGGGTCTGGTGGACCTGCTGCCTTTTTGGGCTTCAATTCAACACAATCAAACTATTTTATGTTAAAATACTCAACAGATGTTTACTTCATCTCAATTACAAGCAATATAGACAGCATATGTGGTTAATATTTGCCCTTTTACATTTGTTAGATCACATTAATGAATTCAAGTGCTACTCGTTTTTTTGCCCACTGACCGGCTGGTCCTGTGGCTCGTCTTTTTTTTGTAACTAGCTGATGCTCAATCTCATCCTCTTCTTCAAAGTCACTGTCAGACTCAGAATTCTCAGAAATGTGATCCTCACATTCTGATCATATCATTTTTCTTTAGCTAAATAATGAAAACGGGTCCCACAGACCCGAATACCATACAAGGGTTAAGTAAGTTATTATCATAATGTTCAGTTTGTGGTAACTGTTAAAATCCTTGTTTGATATATTGGATTGTAATTTGTTAGTAAAGTTTTTCTTGAGTTATTGAATGTGATTTTGCATCACTAATTGTCCAGCAATCATTTGATAAAGTTTATTTAAAAAAAAAAAAGTTCTGGTCTCAACGACTATTTGAACTCTTTAAGTCTTTTTTGTAAGTCTATTCATTGTATTAAACTGCACAAGTGTTAGTCATAATAATAGCTTCACGAATTTCACGGTAGTGTTTACATACCTTCAATTTGATACGCAGCAGTTCCCGCTCCCCACGCAAAGTCTCGTGGGAACATGTTCCATCAGCGCTAGGACACTGAATCAAAGCAGGTCTAATGTATTTCACTGCGTTGTATTGAATTTATATGAATGTCGAAAATATCTTACTTTTAAACAGGTCGTTTTCGCGCAGTATGTGTCAACGCTGCTGACCAGGAAGCACTCCGCTATGTGACGTTCATGGAGCGTGGGGATTATTATGTACTTGATTTACACGTCAAGGTAAACCAAACACACACAAATACTGTGTTGTTCTTTCTTATTTATTTTATTTATTTTATTAAGGTTGTTAAAGAATCAGTCAATAGGTACTGTGTTGAGTATTTCTATTTATTATGTTTCATTACTGCGGGATGTAGCTACCGACTCGGAAAAAACTTGAACGCAGCACCTGAGGCTTGTTTTGCATGCATGAGGAGATTTGCATGCAAAAAGCTACTGCAAAGTACAGTTAAAAAACAATATATTATTTTTTGTGTATCAATTATTATTATATAATTATATAATGTACAAATTAGCTACATAGAAACAGAATATAAAATAACATATAACATATTTGTATTAAGATTTTACAAGAGTCCACATTTATTCATGTCCATTATGTGAAGTGCAGTGATAAGTGTAAAAGTATGTTTAGGATTCATGACAGCCGTTGATGGGGTGTGAGATGATGTGTCCGATTCAGAGTCAGTCAGATGGAAATAATTTATTAGTTTTAAATTATTGAGTAGGATCCATTGCACCATTTTCTGCATAACAACATGGTGACGTCTTCTCTGCAGACATAAAAAGGTTAGAGGTTGCTCAAAGATTGTCTTCTTGAAAACAAATAGACTAGGAGGTGAAAGCATAATGGCCTAAAAGGCATATGTTCTCTGTCCTGTGATCACTTCAATGCTATCCTCTGGTCCAGTTTTCTATAGAGTGAAGGGACCCACTCGACCTGATCACAACAAAGAAAATGGATGTTAGCCAAAGGGCAAACAAATCCTCGCCTCCTCATATAACTACACAAACACACAATTGGATTTTTGTTATTTAATCTTTCACGGCTATTGTGTGTACAGCAAACAAGACTGCACTTGTTCAGAGGCAAACACAGGAGAAGACCAAGGGAAGTATTCAGATACATTACTTAGTTGAACATAGCTAAACAACAGTGTTTAAGTAGTCAATGTTATCCAAGTATACAGAAGTAATGATCTTAAACAAAATATATTGTATGAAAAAAGTATTTTTGGACATTTGTATTCATATTCATATAAGCAGCATTCTACTGTCTCTAATGGTTGTTTACCTTATTTGAAGTACTATGGTATGAGCATTGAAATATAGGCTTTATTTAAAAAAAAAAAATTATCATATTTGATTGTGTATAAGAAATCTTATGTGAATACTTCTGCAAAGTGAATGTAATAGTGCAGAAATGCTGTCAACTTTATTGGCATCCAAGTAAAGTAATAACGTGTACTCGAAGAGGTTATTATTAACGACTACATTATAGATGTATGCCAGGGGATATATGGAATATAATGTTCATCCAAAGTGAAGAAGACGCAGCATAAAATTAAATGATTTAAGTTAAGTATTGCTACCTTTAAAAATGTATTACTAAAGCAATTGAATACTCCCCACTGAAGCCTAAGTAGCAGTAACGGTACAACCTGAAATGCCCCTACGGGGAGCTTTATTTTGAAAAGCTGACCGGATATGGTTTTATTTCAGAGGGACTTGACAATGGTGGAGCCCGGGGCAGAGCCACTGAGGAGGAGGAATCCTCAATGGACAGAGAACCAAGCTATGAATACTTTCCAAAGACGCTGTGGAGTTAAAAAACAACACAACAACTGAGGATATTCTTATTTAAAGCGACGTAAAGCTATTTTTACTTTGTTTTTTCCCGCTTTTGCTGCACATTTTAAGCGGAGAAGTTGTTGTTTTTGTGTTTTTTTTTCCGTTCCTGAGTAAGTTCCTGTGGGAAAAGAAGAGAGAGGGAAAGTGTATCGCTTTTGTTTGGATTTATGTAAAGTAAAAAAAAACTTGGAAGTTAAAGTGTGGGTTTAAGAGAAGTCTGGCTTTGTTTCCTGAAGTTAGTGCGGATAACCTGGGAGTACTCCTGCCGCCCTCCCGTGGAAAAGACACCCGGACCCACGCTATGTGCAACAAAGAAACCCTCTCAACTACTGCACAAGTTATTTAGTAACCAGCGAGCACACTCCGCTTAAAATACACGGATTCGCACAGTTCCAGGAAATGGGAATAACACCGGGATGGAAGAGGAATTGTAAATGAGTCTTGTGGAAAAACAAAGAAGGACACAGAGAGAGAAATGGAGGAGGAAGGCTGTCTGGAGCCAAACAAGATACTCTCTGTTTTATCTTAACAAAGCTCAGCTCCGCGTTTAGCAGCGAAACATTTCCTGTGCCCATGCTGCGGTGGTTCTCTGTGTGAACATGAAGGTGGATGTATTGCGGTTGTTTGTGATTTTGCTGCTCGGTGGAGGCTGTGGAGGTTCGGCGGTATCATCTGATTGCAAATCATATGAAGAGCGCTCCAAAAGCGGGGGGAAGAGCCTGTCGTCCGACCGGAAAGTGGTGTGCAGCAACATGGAGCTCCATCAGGTGCTCCCCCCGGACTCCTTCCCCAACAGGACCGTCACCCTGTGAGTTTGCATCCATTTCACACGGTTAAAACACATTATTCTGCACCCTGTAACTGTTTCACACTGAACTAATGTCTGCAAGGTTTATTACTAAGGTAAAACAGCCAGAATCAGGTTTATGACCAGGTAGGTTTTTTGCTTTGGTGTAAAATGTTGAATATACAAACATATTTGGAGGTATGAGGTTGCAAAAAAGTGCCAAACATATGTATTAGAACTATTTTAAAGGTATTTAGGTCCTTGTTGCATTATTCTTTTCTCTATATGTTTTATACATTTGCAAAAGAACACATCTGTGTTGCTATCCTTCTCTTTTGGTGTGTTAAAATTGAGAACCATATTTAACTCCAAAAAGAGACAGAGGAGAAATGCATTCACAGAAAAGTAACTAAACCACTCGCACTAAACAAATAATCAGGCAAAGTCACCACCATAATCTTGTGTTTACTTGTAATGTGCATGAAGAAAGCATTACAAAAATCAGTAAACCAAAACAACTTATTAGTAGACAGAAAACACATTAAATCATTACCTATACCTATGATGTAGGTTGGGCTACGAGTGAGTCAAAAACAGACAAGATTCAAAGATGTTAATGTCGTATTCACAAAAGTCCATGTTAAATGTTGTTGTTGGCCATGAAAATGTGAATCCCTTGTAGGTAGACTGGCTGTTAGTTGTTCCCCAAATATGGTGTCTTCAAACAAGTTCATTTGGTGTCTCTACAGGAATTTGCACATGTATTTGTGATTATACTAAAACTACATAGTGGTCTTATTAGCTACATGTGTGTATAACTAACTTCCTTATCATCTATCTCTTTAGTTAAAGTAAGGAAAACATGATTTAATATGGCTTGACACATACACTCATTATATTTGTGTCTGCTCCTTGTCAGCCATAGATCATTCTCTCACAGCTGCATACTGTGATGGTGTAAATGTAAACCCTATGTAACAGTAACCGCCTGTCTTCCTGTACTGATTCTCTCACAGGCTGGAAGATATTTAGTGCTCACACAAGACACTTATGTTCTACCTCCTAGGCATTTTAATAGAGACCAGAGCTCATTAGCTTTTGAGTTAATCCTTGCGTTTTTTTCCACTTGGCTGAAATACACACTCTCGGCTGGGGTTAGATTTAGACTGTAGTACTTTGTTGACAGCACACCTCAGTATCATGGTGTTTTAACGATTTTTGAGCTGCCAAAGCATGCACAAATGCTGCTTTCAGCCCCTCAAAATGGAGATTTCCTCCTTTTCCTGCTTTTTTTATATCACATTTAAGGACATTATATGGACTTGGAGTAATTGTAATGGGCCTTTTGTGGGATTTTCTGACCAAACTGAAGAATAATAACAGAATAACTACCCTCTACAAACCAACCAAAAAAGACACAAATTCAAAGCTGTGCTTTGTGGTGGTGAGCCATGGGAAATCTGAGAATACCAGGGCAGGGTGCAAGAGTAGAAAAGCAAATAATGGACTCCGGGGAAGGAAAGGGAGAGGATTGGCTGCTAAGTTAAGTGAGCTTGCATGTTTTCACCCGTTTACCACAAACCACATGTGTATTACTTTGAAGCACTTTTCAAAGCAACAGGTTCAAATCTGCTTTCCAGACAAAATGGTTTTCAGTATTCAATACAATCAGAGAGACTTGCTTAAGTTGGATAACCCACAAGATAAATATTGTTTCTTGTCATGATTACACCATTGTGGCATTAAAACCCAGACACGTTGATTTGGAGGAATACCATGTATCTGATGTCTCAGCAGGGGACATTATTAAACTTTAAGGGTTACATTTACAGTCATCTTATCAGTAACTGGAGCCAACATAAAAATCCACATTAGCCGAGTGGGGTGGAGCTGAACAGCTGGCAGCCACTCAACTAAGTGTTTAGACCTGTCAGTAAAACAGACTATATACCTCTCTTTAGGACTAATGTTCCCTGTAAAACAAATTCTCTCTCTGAGTTCAGTATACTCAGTCTTTGCTTTTATAAAGAAGAGTATTAATCAGCCATTAGGAGTTTATTTCATAGCTTGTTCCTGTTGTAATGCCTCTCTATTCAGGAGCTGACTAAAATCTTAGCTTTGGCAGTTTCCCACCAACACATAAATGCAACACACTTCACACTGACTGTTATCAAGAGATCTTTGAAGGTCTGGCTCAAGCAAGTCTCTTTAAAATGAATAACCATACAATTCTTAAATGAATGGGACCATTAGCTGCCTAGACTGTAAGAACTTTCTTCCACTGAATTGGCTAAAATATGAAAAAAGGGATCTAATTGTTGGTAGCTCTTACATTTGATTACATTCCCCATTACCTTCCTCTTGACAGTCTGGAATAACTTTAGTATGCCCTTTTTAGATATTTATAGAATCTGAACTATTCTGATCTCTTTTAGCAGTGACGTGCTTTAACGTAATTTAGTTGTGACCGTGATGATGATCCTCATGATTTAGCATCGAGCT